CACAACAGATTGTACTTAAAGCATTTTCTCTCTGTTTGAGGACTCGTCATTTACTCGTTACTGCCTTCTCTTTCATTTAGCGGACCACGTGGTAAAAGAGTCACAGCTGGAAGTGCTGAGGGAGAACATTGGGATGAAATGGAAACGCTGCGCGCGACGCCTGGGCCTGACGGAGGTGGAAATAGAAACCATAGAACACGACTACTACCGCGACGGCCTACCGGAGATGGTGCACCAGATGTTGGAATCCTGGAAAAGAAAGCAGGGATCTTTGAATTGTACAATTGGGAGGCTTTGTCAAGCTCTTCAAGGAAATATAAAAGTGGATGTCATTCAGAAAATACTGGACTTGTGCGATTCTTCAGAGTAGTTGTCGCTCTTTTCGTTCAACAGTGGTCATATTTTCTGCACTATTTTTAAGCCACTGAGGCCAGCTTACTATTAATTTCATGGGAAATGGTGTAACAATATTGTAGCAGTAAGTGTATTGGGCGGGTTTTAAAATCTGAAATACTACCTACTTTTTAGTAGTTATTATGATGAGCAGTTTTGAGACATGTGAACCTTTTTGGCATGTTGCTCTTTAGTAAAAAAAAAAAGAAAAGTTCACATTGACTGATTATGACTGTAACTATCTCAAAAAACACTTTTAAATTTCTGCTGGACCAGTTTTGATAAAACAAAGATGATATGCAAACTGTTTTTATTATGTTACTTCAATATTATCTTTATAGCTGATTTTACATATGTGTGGTCTGAGCCAAACTGACGTTCTTAATAGGTGTTTTCTGCTGTTTTTTGTTTTTCTTTTGTTATGTGGTGGAATAATAATGATAAAAAATACCCATATTGTTTGAGCAACATGTTTAAATTGAACCTTCAAGATAGGCTGAGTCAAAAATAATGAGTACAGTAGAAAACGGTATGTCGAATGTCGAACATACAAAAGCATAAAAATCTTGTGGTGCAATATTTCTACAATAATTTTATGCAGTGATGGAAAAAAACCAAAATGTTTTCTCCTGTAAATTTAAGGCTTGTTTTGAGCTGCAAGAATGCCAACCCAGGGAGAGTGAAAAGTAAGCATGAATTACTTCTCACCTTTCTGTTTGACGGCTCATTGCGCAAAATTACTGTAATTTTTCACAATATTTTCATTCTGATGAGCTGTTTCTAGGAGCTGTTGTAGATGACGGACTTTTCCTCATGTTTTGAGATGCGTTCAGGTCTTTGAATTGGCTTTATGGACTTCTGCTTGATTAAGGTTAAGGTTATGTATATTTGCACAATCAGTGGTATGCTTCTACAAATTCAGAGCCCTTGTCTGTCGTGCTCTGCTGGAAGCATATTACAATAAATATTGTCCATGTGTGTCTGTATATCTGTTTGTGTTTCCAGTTTTAAAAGTTCATTTCAAAGGCTTTGAACAAACCACAGTGAGAGTCATTATTTACAGATGGAGACAAAATGAAGCTGTGGGGAAACCTTTCCAAGGGGCCAGACCACCAAAATTATTTCAACAGCAATAATTCAGGAGGTAATTAATTCATAAATAATTCAGAACTGCAGGCATCACTGGCCTTTTTTTTATATGAAAGAAGAAATGTTTAAATCTTCAAACCTATTTTTCTTTTATCACATCAAAACCCTGTTTTAGTTAGTGAAAGACTTGACCAAACTTGTTCCTTTTTATCCTAAGCCAATTCACCCTAAAAGAATATGGATCCTAACCTTTATGTAAAGTCTCGAAGCACAGTCCGAAATAAGATTTCAGAAATGGATTAAATGACAAAAAAAAAAAAAAAAAAAAAAAA